CTAATAAAAAATTATAATTTCATATTACCCTTTATTTTGTGGGTTCGATATACTCTAAAGTTTAAAATCAAGTTTACCAGTGGACATTATAATTTTTTATTAGGATAAAATTATATTTTTTAACGGTTATATTAACAGATATCAATGAAAGGGGGTTACGTGTTACATGTGCACAAACGTTATGAGATGTAGGAGTAATATTCTAAATGTGAAGGGGTCCAAATGATTAAGTGACAAATATGAGAGAATCTAGGTATAATTTATCAATTTAATTTTAGGTGCACATTGATACAAATTTCTATCTTTGAGAGTGCAAATTGAGATTTTTATCTTTGGGGGTGCACATTGATACAAATTTTTATCTTTGAGGGTACAAATTGAGATTTTTTATCTTTGAAGGTGTAAATTAAAATTTTAATTATCTTTCAGGGTGTAACTTGCAATTAACCCTTATTTCTATATATCATAGTTGAACTCGGCAAAAGGGTTAAACCTAGTTTTCGTAGGGGTAAAACCCGTGTTTAGATTAGGGTGATAATTGAATAATAAGATGAAGATGGTTAAAATATGTTGGATCGGATACAATTGAATTGAGTTATGCTTAACCCATGTTTAGGAAACAAAAAAGATGCTAAGACGTCTCATTTGGGCCAATACCCAATTTGAATAGGGTCGTTTTTCCATCGTAATAGACTGTTTTCTAACCCCTCATCTGGATGTGGGTTAAATTTGAAGTAATGAGATTTGTTGCAAAAAGATTATTGTACTCCTTATTTTTTAGGAAGAATTACATTCAAATTTTTTGAAGTTTATCCTTTAATTTTTTAAATTCTTGATATTTAAAATATTATACACAAACTCCTGTAGTTTGTACGTGCGTAACATTTAGATTTTTGCTGTTAATATCCGTTAATAAATTATATTCAAATCTCCTAAAATTTGTAGGCGTGCAATTAGAGGTGTTCAAATTTCCAACTGGCCGCAAGTTCCGACCCTACCCTATCTTATTGAAAGACTAGCCACAAAAATTGAGTAGGAATACGGAAGAGTTTTTAGTCTTCCAACAATTTTCGGGTAGGAATGCGGAATAGACATTTATTTTCGCATTCCTACTCTACCCTACCCGCAATAATTTTTTTTTTTAAAAAAAAAATATATATATATATATATATATATATAGAAAAAAAACCCTAATCTACTGAGTCCCAAGAGCGCCTACGCCTCACACCTCACTCAGTCACTCCACTGCTCCTTCTTCGTTGTTCCAGACTTCCCACCCAGGTTCTCTCTCTCTCTCTCTCTTTCTCTCTCTCTGTGGTGTGGTCTGGCTTGGAATGTTTGATTGCAGACTTTCATCTACAGTAACAGATTGGTTACATGATTTGTGGTGAACTACTATAACGGAGCAATTATGATTTTAATGTATTTCATATGGTTTAAAGTTTAAACTTAAATTAATTATTATTGTATTTGTGTAACAATTATGGTGGATTGATGTTCATACTTTCTTGTGTTTTATTATAATTATTGTTGTAGTTGTTTTAGATTTTAGTGTTAATTGATTTATTATGTTGTTAAATTGGTGTATGTTATTTAATTAAATTGTTAAAATGATCTAAAAATTAATTGTTACAAAAATATTTACCCGACTTCCTACCCAATTAATCGGGTAGGAATACTACAACTGTCGGGTAGGGTAAGCCAAGAAAAAACTCTTCCGCAAAGTATCGGCTAGGAAGACGGAAGATCATATTTCCTACTTGTAGGGTAGGGTGAACACCCCTACGTGAAATATTTAAATTGCTCAAGTTTAAAAATAATAGTTAGATAAAAAATACTCTAATTAAAGAAAGAATAAAAAATATTTTCAATTTTACAATAAAAATTCATGATTTATTATGACATTTAGTAAAATAAAATCAAAAATAAAAATCTATTTTTTTTTAAAAAAATTATGATAGTATAATCGTATACTAATTAAAATTTTTTAAGAAAAAAGAAGATTTTTTTTTTATTTTATTTCAATAAAATGTCATAATAGAATATAAATTTTAGTTTTAAAATTTAAAATATTTGATATTCTATTTTTAATTGGAATATTTTTGGTCTAAGTATAATATTTTAAATTTAAAGGGTCTAAGTATTATACACTTATAAATTTTAAGGAGTTTAAATATAATTTATTAATAAATATATTGTCAGCAGAAATCTAAGTATTATGTAAGTCTAAACTAAATGATAAATCTCTAAAAATTTGAGTGTAATTCACCTTAGTTTTAAAAAAATTAAATTGTCTGAGAGATATGATGGTAAGGCTTTCAAATCATGAGGTAATCTACGAGATCCATACAAATTTAAATGCATTTGCCGAAGATAAGAATGTGCCTTTTTACAAGTTAATAGAATAACTTGCATTGAATTGGGTTGGATCAGAAAAGATGAAAAATTCCAATCCCATCTATTCCCACCTGACTATCCAAACGTCACCTAAGTGCTCAGTTTGTTCAGTTCCAGGGTGGTCCTAATTCAAGATTCCCAATGGCTAGGGTGTTTACTCTATGTAAGTAATATAATTTTTTGTCTTTTTATTTGATATTTACAAAAGAATTTTTTTTTATTCTACTCTATTCCATCAGGTGTGATATTCTTACCCCATTAATTGAGTAAAAAGTCAGGTAAATACTTTTACAGTTATTAGTTTTTGGATCGTTTTAATAATTCAATTAAATAACATACACGAATTTAAGAACACAATAAATCAATAACACTAAAAACCTAAAGCAACTACAACAACAATTATAATAAAACAGAAAAAATCATGAACATTAATCTATCATAATTGTTATACAAATACAATAACAATTATTTTAAGTTTAAATTATATGAAACACATTAAAATCATAACTGCTTCAATAGATCATTAGTTCACTACAAATTATGTAATTTACACAAAAAACAAGTCCATGTTTTAGCAACTCAAACATCCACAACAACGATAATGTTATAATATAAATTATACCACACAAATACTCTTATAATTACTAAAAAAATATATAAAAAAGTTAAATATATTTTTTGCAAGTAGGGTAGGATAGGAATGCGGAAATTAATGGGTATTCTGCGTTTCTACCCGATTTAATCGAAAGACCAAAAACTCTTCTGCATTCCTACCCAATTTTTTGTGACTAACCGTTCAGTAGGGTAAGATAGAAAATTATGACCAATCAAAAATTTGAACACTCCTACCCATGGCCATGGGCATAGCAATATTGTCCCGTCTATCTATTTATTTCTTTGGAAAGCTCAAATTACTAATAGAAATTCCTAATAACACCGTTGGTACAAGGTGAGCTCATATTACCCGAATTGAAAAACAAGAAAATGGCGTAAAAATTTCACATGGTGCTATGTGAACCTCCATAATATCTAAGCAAGTCAAGTTTTATATATGTCATACTGAATTAGTAAAACTTGAATCAGGACAACTTGGTAGTCCGATGCAGGGACGAAATTAGCAACTAACTAAGCCATGGATGCAAGACCACCCTAAAAAGTTTCAGATTCAGGCCAACTAATCAAGAGGAGTAAAATTTACGGTAATTTTGAAACAAAATTTTCAAACTATGATATTTTCAAACTTATTTATCAAATTACGTAACTTTTTTAAAAATAGGGATGTTAATCCCGTTTTTAAGAGTGAATTCATTGGACATAATTCCCTCCTTTTGCATCATGGTTGATGATAGCAAGAAGCGTTCATTTTCTTTGTGACGAGCTGCCTCTCGAATTACACCTTTTCTCCTCCGTTTTTGGGGACTACGGAGAAGGGTTCATACTTCCTCTCTGATTTTGAATAGCCTTTTCCCCTTGTCCAATAAAAGATTAAAATGATCCCCACTTTTTAATAAAAAGCGGGACCAATAACCTACTTTAAGTGTCGCAGTTTGAAAAATATAGTAAATTGATATTGAATTCGATATAAACGACCAGAAGGTTTGTTTTAAGCAAAATGACACCTTCAACATCATCCAACGGTCCTACATACTATTCTGTTGTGCAAAGCTTACAACAATTGTTCAACTCTTGAAAACAGTCCAGTCGAAGCAGAACTGTTGTATGGTTTACTAAAGATAAAAGAATTAAGGGAGGATTAAAGAAGAGTTCAGATAAGTTTGAAGGTACAAACATCAAGGCTTTTCCATAGAAATCCCATTTTTCGAAAGAGTAGTTAGTTGTTCAACCCAAACAACAAAAATAAGAATTATCAAATATGCATGTATCCTCTTGTATGTGTTCATAAAAAAAAAACACAAAAATTACAATTGCAGAATAAACTTTTTCTTATAAATTTTCATGTTTCTGACAAGGGCACGAAAGAATCACACCCAATTAATATATCCAATTGTCAAGCCAAGTCCATATGAACTATAAAGAGTACATAGTGAGAACAGTTCAATGGCTGCAAGTATACTAACTACATTCATCGGTACAAACACATAAATTAGCAATAAAATTCAGCTTGGCAAATAACAAAACGAAAAGAAAATTTTATTGCTATTCTTATTATCATGGTACAAGATCTGCAGATAAAAGCAGCATAAATTAAACACCCTCAGAAGGGAAACAAAAAAGGTAAATAGTTTACGAACCTTCAACATGCAGCTGAAGAAATGGAGAATCATCTAACTTCTGGCACGTGCCATCAGAAGCGCAAACTTGGATGATGAATTTGAGACTAGAAGTGCCAGAAGGAACCACGAGGTCAGAGACGTAAAAGGCTTGAACTAGTGCCACTCCAATATACTCCTGCACTCCATCAACCACTCCACCAAGGTTTGCAACTGATTGATTTGCTAATTTCTCGACATAAATATTGTAATTCGGGAAGAGAGAAGCATTTCCATGTTTTGACTTCCAAACCACCTTAACACTCAGGGTCTTGGACCCCTGAGAACCTGATGTCCACTCTATATCTTGACCCTCAACTAGCCAAAGACTTGATGGAGGGAAATCAGAGTTAGGTGAAGAAGTTTTAACTGTGAGACTACCGAGCACTGCATAATATTCTGATGGACCACGAGCTGTGGTGTTATTTTCACCAACTGAATCAGATTCTAATCTAAGTTCAGTAACACCAGGCTTTGCCTTGTAGCATACAGCATGTATTTCTGTTAATACATACCCATTCATTGCAATGCTGCTCTCTTGTATGACCCATCCTGGTGCCTTTTCTTGATTCATGACTCGATGTGGCATAATGACATCACTGAATTGGCTTGAAAACTGGTTCATGGTAAGCAAGGTATTTCCACTGGATGCTAGAAGAACTGTTTTTCTCCCATTAAGGCCAAAAGAGAACTGAAGATAAAGGCCTAACATGGAGTTCCCTTCTGTTTTTACCTGCATAAATTTTGCATCAATAGCTAAACAGTCGGCTGTAGGCAGACAGGACTGGAACATAGAATTGTCTTCTCTTAGTTTGGGTGTTGTTACTGTTCAGCCCAGCATTTATTATCACTTGACAATATTATCGAAATCCAAATAATTAAAGGTATCAAATAGATGCAGTGAAAGCAAGGTACTCATCACAAAATATTATGATGTCTATTCCAGATACTAGCTTACTAGAGATAGAGAATTCCGAGTTTTGTTCCTATTTCTACTGCAAAACTTCATCAAGTGGCTCAAATGAAAACTACAAAAAGACTACGATAATGAAAAAAATTATTTCGGTCAAATTACTTACAAATACAAAAAACATGATGGAGAAAATTTTGATGCAAAAACAGAGCTCCACAGAAAAACCATATCAAATGAATCTTCTGCCTAGCAGTACTGCTGTTTCATTGAACTAATTTGTCTTTTGTTTTAACTACGATAATACGTAAGAATAATTACTGGTCTTGTTTAAGAATCGAACCTGGATTTGAACAGAACTACAAAAGAAATATAAATATCTACTTGAGCTTGAAATGACAGACTTTAGGATTAATTCAAATATTAGTAGTTTTCGCAAGTCTCGTGATACTGAAATTCTTCGACATATACCTGTTTCATTAACATCTATTTCATCTTAATGGTATATCTGTTTTCATCAAGAATACTTGATCAAACCATTTATAACCACGTTAGGATAGGGAAATCTATACGAGGAAATTGAACCAAAGAACATGGAGTAACTGAATGGCTTAAGAAAGAGATACAATGAGGCAAAGAACGTGTGCCACCCCTCCAGTAGTAGTTGAAGCTACAAATCCATTATCTAGAAAGGAACCATATGAAGGTATAAGCACAAAGGATAATTAAGGAGCTCAATAAATGAAACTCTTTCAAATTTACGTCATCACCGGACTTTGCTGGCTCTAAAATCATTCTACATAAACGATTTTCATGGGCTTTCTTGCGATGCCACTAGAGTTTAAAACTAATAGCCAACAACCAAAATCATTTTAACTCAATTTAATTAATATTTATATTAATGTTTTATTGAAATAGCCAACCCGAAATAGTTAGGAAAAGACTTTGTTGAGTTGAATTTTAACTGCTGACCTAAATTAGCAGAATGGCCCAGACATACAGGAGACTAATAACGAAATAGCTGTGAATTGAACCCACAGTTGAACTAGCCTAGAAAATAAGCATGTTCAGATTAAATTGGATGAATGTGCAGATTTGCAGACTATCACTTTTCAATATGCGCCAGACCCATTCTAACAAATCTGATCAAATTACTAAAACCATAGCAGGGTTTTAGAAATCTGACCCAGTCAACATCTTCGATGGAAGATCCTAACAATTGGCCACCTAATCCTGGACTAGCCATATTCGAGGACTCTGTCTCTAGATCCCTTTTCTTTGTATTGTCCCCTCCATCATTTCATTCCTTCTAGTTTTGCTCCCTATAATATGCATAATAACAGAAAATGCAAAGAAATGCTTCACACATTGTTTTGTCTCTGGTTAAATTTCTTCTCATTGGTTAGTAAGGCAGAAAAGCATCATCATAATCTTAATAATCAAACCTTATGTAGGCATGACCTAATAATTGTTCGAGATACCATTTGGTTAGAAAGATTAATCCACAAATGAGATGGCTTACAGAATATATAAAGTGGACAGGTAAATCCCCCAAAGGAAGCTCTCCCTGAAAGAGCTTTGTTGTGAAATAAGCATTGCCTTCCAGAGTTCCTTTAAATGTGATGTTCCCTCCACCATTATATGATGCTTCCTTAAAACTAACATTAAAAAATATATATTTAATTCAAGGCAGACGAATGGTACTCTATCTAATTGAACGGCAGAAAAAAAATGTGCAACATTGAAAATTTTGTGAAAGACTAATGCACTATATACATTTTTACAGGTGGAAATATATGGCAATATGAATGCGGCATTATGATGCGTACTCCCAATAAAAAAAAAAAAAAGTGACAAGTCCAACAGGACCCAGAGAACAAACAAAAAAGCCAAGGATTCACTCATCAAGTAGCTACCCACGAAAATGGTAAATCACTTTTCGAATGGTAAAAATGGTGGGCTAATTGTAGAATATATAGTTAAAAGAAATCCTTTTTGCAACCCCTAAGGAAGATCAGGCATTCTCCTCCTCTCAAATGATTTTCAGACAAGATGAAATCTCAGAATCTCCATACTGAAATTTATATATTCCTTTGAAACTTATCAGTGGCAGCTGCTTCAGAATTTCTATCACTATGTATGACCAAATGACCAAATCATGGAAGTATATGATATGTCATACACATGGTGGAAAGGCTAAATGGTATACATATTTGCATTAATAAACTTACTTGACCAAAACTTGAATCTTGTCTGGCACAGAATCTCCAGGAACCTCAAGGAAAGGCTGGGACAAAACAGTGTAAGTTGGTAAATAAAGCATGCCAAAGAGCCAGACATCAATAACAAATAACAGGATGAGTATAAATGTATTTTATACAAGAGAATATAGCTGAACTTTGGACAGTTGTTCAGTCATATCACCCAGTCAATGGTAAATGATGGATTAAAAACTGTGTTGATGAAGTCTCCTGTGAGCAGTGGACTCCTACAAAATATGCATTTGTTTGGATTTCAAACTTATTATTATCTTTGGGATTGTAATTCAGACTTTTTCTTTTTCAGCACAACACAATTCTGTCAAATTGCTTGCTTGTGTAGTTTAAATTTTCTAGTTCATGTCCTCAATACCTATATAATTAGTGGCATCTCAATCTAAAGGTAAACAAAGATTCAGCACCATGACATGCAGTTTTAAGCTCGTTATAACTGCAAAACTAAACATAAATAAAGTCAACAGCCAATTCAGGATGAAGGTCTCTTTTGGATTCTGATAATGATTTGGTTGGGAAGGAATTGAAAGTCTTAATAGCTTTAAACGATCAATGTGAAAGTCTTAAATAGCTTTCAAACATCCACTGAGAATATTACTACGTAGTAATCATTGTTATACAAAATTGAATGACATAGAAAAATTGAACTGCAAGTTATATTACACCAGTGATCAGTAACCCCAGGAAATTATTACCTGCAAACTTTGGCAAGAAATGTTGTTCCAAGGATCAACCGATATTTCCCCTCCATTAATAGAGATATGGTAACCATGACCCTGAACAACAGCAAAAGAAATGTATTGATATACATTNACAAATAACAGGATGAGTATAAATGTATTTTATACAAGAGAATATAGCTGAACTTTGGACAGTTGTTCAGTCATATCACCCAGTCAATGGTAAATGATGGATTAAAAACTGTGTTGATGAAGTCTCCTGTGAGCAGTGGACTCCTACAAAATATGCATTTGTTTGGATTTCAAACTTATTATTATCTTTGGGATTGTAATTCAGACTTTTTCTTTTTCAGCACAACACAATTCTGTCAAATTGCTTGCTTGTGTAGTTTAAATTTTCTAGTTCATGGCCTCAATACCTATATAATTAGTGGCATCTCAATCTAAAGGTAAACAAAGATTCAGCACCATGACATGCAGTTTTAAGCTCGTTATAACTGCAAAACTAAACATAAATAAAGTCAACAGCCAATTCAGGATGAAGGTCTCTTTTGGATTCTGATAATGATTTGGTTGGGAAGGAATTGAAAGTCTTAATAGCTTTAAACGATCAATGTGAAAGTCTTAAATAGCTTTCAAACATCCACTGAGAATATTACTACGTAGTAATCATTGTTATACAAAATTGAATGACATAGAAAAATTGAACTGCAAGTTATATTACACCAGTGATCAGTAACCCCAGGAAATTATTACCTGCAAACTTTGGCAAGAAATGTTGTTCCAAGGATCAACCGATATTTCCCCTCCATTAATAGAGATATGGTAACCATGACCCTGAACAACAGCAAAAGAAATGTATTGATATACATTACAAAGGGTATGGTTCCTTTCACTACCAGCAGCAACCATCTAGATCTTGCCGTGTCATTAACAGGAACCAGATCAAAAGATCACATTGGGCAGAGCACAGATTCCCCATATTAGTTTGGTTACAAGTTTTTAACTTTATCAATATCTTAATCTATCTCATTATGGGGAAAAAAAGTAATATCCTCACAAATATTCTCATTTTGCACAGAATGTACAACCATAATTGTCAAATCGCGTATCGGAAGGTGTATTGTTTTTCAAAAATAGTGTATCGTATCGTATCGTGTATTGTAAGATACGCGCAATTTTAATTTTTAAATAATTATCAATGAAATATATATATACCTTTGTAAAAAAATCATAGATTCAAAATAATATAGCATTTCGTTAATATTCCACCAACTATTCAAGTTCCCAACATAGTTCAGTAATATCAAAATACAAACACCTCTAATTCAAACTTTTAACATTAACTATTTGAACAACTTTAATATTAATCAGGAATTTTGAACTCAATTGAATAACATCAATAGTAGACTTTATTTTATTTTTTTAAACCACAATCACTTAAACGACGTTATTTCACTAGCTAATAATTTAAAAATAAGTCNAGCAAAAGAAATGTATTGATATACATCACAAAGGGTATGGTTCCTTTCACAACCAGCAGCAACCATCTAGATCTTGCCGTGTCATTAACAGGAACCAGATCAAAAGATCACATTGGGCAGAGCACGGATTCCCCATATTAGTTTGGTTACAAGTTTTTAACTTTATCAATATCTTAATCTATCTCCTTATGGGGAAAAAAAGTAATATCCTCACAAATATTCTCATTTTGCACAGAATGTACAACCATAATTGTCAAATCGCGTATTGGAAGGTGTATTGTTTTTCAAAAATAGTGTATCGTATCGTATCGTATCGTGTATTGTAAGATACGCGCAATTTTAATTTTTAAATAATTATCAATGAAATATATATATACCTTTGTAAAAAAATTATAGATTCAAAATAATATAGCATTTCGTTAATATTCCACCAACTATTCAAGTTTCCAACATAGTTCAGTAATATCAAAATACAAACACTTCTAATTCAAACTTTTAACATTAACTGTTTGAACAACTTTAATATTAATCAGGAATTTTGAACTCAATTGAATAACATTAATAGTAGACTTTATTTTATTTTTTTAAACCACAATCACTGAAACGACGTTATTTCACTAGCTAATAATTTAAAAATAAGTTTTAGGGTAAATCGATGTCATTTTAATCCCAAAAAACCAAAAAAAAAAAAAAAAAAAAAAAAAAAAATCAAATACGAAACAAATTTAACAA